TATTAAATAAATCACACACAACCAAAACAATAAATTAAATAGACTCAGGCTGGAAAACAGAGCTCTCTTGTGGCCAAAACACGCAATTGCATTTGTGAAAATGCAGTAGTAAAAAATGTTTTTAAAAATAAAGAAAGTCAGGAAGGTGGGGGCTGATTGAAAACGGAATCGGGTGGTTGTGTTTCAGGTGCAGTTTAAGGTCGGTCGTATTGCTAGCTTTTGAAAACAAATGCGACATACCGGCTCATTCAAGTCCGTAGGTTCGCCTCGTTGATTTGGCTTAAATCCAAAATAATCCCACACCGGAGATGTGGGATTAGGTTTTGCAACCAATTCCATTTAACTTCAAATTCCCCTCGAGTAAGTCACACGTTGTCTCCTGCTTGTCTCTGTATTATTCATTTGGCTGCTACGCTGTTGCACCACGTAGTGTCCTGACCTGGCTGTGTGTGAGCCACGCCCCTCAATGCTGGTCACATCCTTATGTAAACAAACACGCATGTAAACGGCAATTTATCGAGGTCAGAAAAGTTATCGAGTTCATTCGTATTTATCGAAGTCAATTAATTGCTTATCGCGACAGGCCTATAGAGATGTCCCACTTTGGGATTCCAGCCATTGCAGACCATTTACATGCACAAAACATATGAAACGCAGTACATGAAAGCGAAACCCCTAAAAGCAAAATAGGGCCTCCTTAATCCAATTATTGGCAAGAAAGCTAAACGGCATGTCTCACAAAATGTCAAATGAGGTATCAGATGCCATAAGTGAATATAACCACCTGTGATCATCTGTCGTGGCGAAACATGTTTCAAATATATCAACAACATAACGTCGGTGGGTTTTTTTTTTTCTGTCAGAAAGGGTACAGCTGTTAAAAAGCTTTTAGTGATTTGAAGTAGGCAGACTGGTGCCGGAGGCAGCTTCCTCAGCGCTGAGTTTATTACATTGAGTCCTTCCCGAGACGAAGATCTTCTGCACTTAATGCTGCATGAACCGACTGTCCTCAATGACTCGTTGCAGCTAAAGTCATTTACCGTAAGCTGCAATATCTCCATTCTGCCTCCCTCTCGGTCTCTCTCTCTCTCACCCCATTCTTAAATATCATGTGGAGCCTGATGGTTTTCTCAGAAGATGATGAAGAACAAGCCGTCTTTGTTGCCATCCATTGATGCAAAAAGAAAGCATACAAAGGAACACTTGTGAGTTATACATATGTGTCTTTGATAAGTCTATCTTCTGTCAAATCTTTTTCAGTGAAGTAGCCCTGTGTTTCCAGACATATTTTGACCGATAGGTTCATACACATAGACCAAACTATAAAGACTAAATACACCAGTGAAAGGGCTTCAATACAGTCACGAACACAATTAACACACACACACACACACACACACACACACACACACAATCTCCACGGCTGATATAAATACATTCATTCACACACACTCATTCTTCATGGTTGATGTAAAATTAGCCGTAGCCTTTAGCCCGGTGCACTTAGGTTTTTTCTCCCCTTTTGCTTTTGCTTTCGCTTCTTCTTTTAATTTCATTTTCTTGTCATTGTCATTTTTTTTTATACGTCTTTCTTGATCTTTTACCCCTCTTATTCTCACCCGCTTCTCGTCCCTTATCTCCCTCCATTTTGTTATGGGACATTGACTGAGAAGTTGTGTTGGCACGTGTTTGTGTGCACACATTCCTCCTGAGTGTGGTTTTTACCGTATCACTGCCCCATGGTAACCTTTAGAGAAATAACCCCCCGATAAAATATCACTGGATGATCAAAAACTCTATTTTTAATATTGTAGAAATTTAGCACCCAGTTTAATTCAAAGATTATTCAATTTAACCGAGGAACAGTTACATTTGTTTGTTTGTTTTGTTTTACTATATCGTGTTAACTGCAAGAAAAGATCAACATGCAGATGAGGCAAAGGGGGTGTGTGTGGTCGTGTGTGTGGTCGGGTGTTGGCATTTCTCTGCAGTCACATGATTTTATAGTTTAGATTATGATTAAGTCTGAGGAGGCATGTGACCTGTGAAAACACACTGCATAGCAATCAGCAGAGTTAAGTGAGGAATTTGAAAAAGTTGAAGTTTGCAGAAATCTCTACTTCCTGGTTCTTAAATGGTGGTAAAGCTCTTTATCTGCTTCTAATGACGTTCCACAAACACATAGTAAGGTGTCATTCCTATTAAAAACACATGAAACAGTTTTAAATGTTGCTATAACAGTTTGTACGAACCATATTAGATGAATTCCCTTAACTAGAAAGGGAGTGGTTGTGATTTAATATGTAATCTTAACTTTATGTATCTTGAATTAGACGCTTACTTTGAAAACATTTTCTTTTTAATAGGGTACAGTTTCTGTTAGATTAGACGTTGACATATGTAAAGAAGCGCAGATAGTCAGACACATACTGAATTCAAAAGGAAGGACTGCATGATACATCTAATTTAAATTATTATTGGTGTAATAATGCGAAGCTGGGATATTAATTGCAGTTTTAGAGGGAATTATCATCACATTATCATGGCAAAATAAAGGTCCCATGTCATGGCCATTTCTACTGATCATAATTCCATTGTTGAGGTCTACTAGAATAGATTTACATTGTTCAATGTTCCAAACTCACATTGGTTTCTCATACAGCATCTCTGTATAGTATGTGTATTCACTCTCTGTCCTAAACGGCTTGTTGGAGCTCCTACCCCCCCCCTCCCTGTGAGCCCACTGTGCTCTGATTGGTCAGCTCGCCCACTCTGTTCTGATGAGTCCACCACCGTTACAGCGGAACATCAGTGATTATGTGTTACCATGGCGTTTGTTAGCAACCAGAAAATGACCCCAGTAATGACAAACAGATGAGAGTGCTGCGTGGGGTCTGGGTGCCGTGTTGGCGGGACGTTGCGGGGCTCGCTGCTGTGGACAGTGTGAGCTGGCTTACTGGTGTGGTTTCCTGGTGGATGGGAGACACAGCGAAACCCAGCCCGAAACCAGCCCGAGCACACACCCGCAGCCTGGCTGTGAGTCTGTGTGTGTGTGCTCACGGCTCCGCGGATTGGTCCATTTGGGTTGTCGTTACGTCACTTAGTACCAGGAAGAAAAAGATAAATGTCCAACGAGGCGTTCTGGGGCAGCATAGACAGGTCTTCTCTGTGTTAGAGTTTTACTCGCTACAGGGTGTACTTTGAGGGTTGAGGGTTTGTGACTGCAGACCATTTACATGCAGAGAAACCTTCATAACACACAAGGGGACGGGTAATAACCAGAAAAGCATGACATGGGACCTTTTAATTAAGAGTGATATTGTTATATATTAAGCTTTGAACAAACATTGATCTTACTGCTATCTGGATATTGCACGAGTCCATAATTGCTTTTCCGTTACATTTTCATTAATGTTGCAGCCCTGATACAGATAATGATTAATAAAACATGAATAATTGTAAAACATCTCATGTTATTCTGTTAAGGCAGTATTTTTTCTATATCGTGCAGCACTCGCAAGGCAAGGCAAGGAACGTTTATTTATACAGCACCTTTCAACACAAGGCAATTCAAAGTGCTTTACAAAAATGAAAGACATTAAGAGCATCAAGAAACATATTATAAAATGGCATTTAAAAACACTCAAAGCTAATAAAACATGAATAACAAAAGGTACATGAATGAAAGTGACAGTGCCGTGTGAGATACACACATCTGAATTGTTTAGCTCTGACTCTCAATCATTAATAACTTTTTAAGCAGAACTAGTTTTCTTTGACTTCCCTTTCTTTCTACTTTCTTTTTTAGCTTATCGAACCCGAAAAATTATAATCTGACCCCTATATTCTGAAAATTCTACGGATCCTGGCCATATTTCTGTAGCATATAACATTCACATTCATGTGGCTTGCTAGTTGTAGATTTCCAAGCCGGTGGGGAGGACGTTGAGAAGATAATCCACTTTTTTTGAGTGTGGTCAGAGTTGACATGAGGAATGTATGTTTGCAGAGAGAATGAGCGGCCCCCTCTGATCCCTCTGAGCCCGTTAGTTTGGGGTATTCAGACGAGTTAAATACTCGCAGGATGATCGGACCCGACATTCACTGGTCCGTTCAGGGCTGAAAAACAGCTGCGACTTATGCTGACTGGTTTAATGTTTGATTAAACCGGCCTAATAGGCTCTGAAAAGTGTTTTAAGTCCAAGAGTTGAGATGAATTTATAATCACAGGAATTAAAGGTCATAAAAGATCACACTGTTTTTCATCAATATATTATAGGTCTCAGATATATACAAAACATGTCTCTGAAGTTTTTGGCTCGAAACACCAAACAGACCATTGCAGCATCCCATAATCCCCTCTGTTTCAGCCCTGTTTCAAAAGTGCTGATTCTCTGTCTGTTACTTTAGATCAGTGTTTCTCAAACTTTTTCATACCAAGGACCACTTAACCAATAAAAAAACACTCGCGGACTACCTAACTCCACAAATATAAAAAAACACATAGTTTTTCTAGAACAGATTACAAATCGCCTGAAAATGGTACAAACAAGTGGCAACATGTGTGATGAAGGTGCTGCGCTGGGCTATATCATGCAATCAAAAGTGAAACTTAACCTCGCTCCATTGCGGAGATATTCCCGTGAGAGTGCGGAAAACTTAAATTTATTTATTTATTTTTAATGTGAAATGTTACCAATATACTCACGGACCACTAGGGGGCGCTCACGGACCACACTTTGAGAAGCACTGCTTTAGATGAAAATAAGGAGCCCCTCCCCACGCCCCTCTGAGAGATATTTGGTTAAAAATAACACAATGGTGCTCTAGGAGGAGATTCAGGTGATAAGGTGGGGGGGGGTTACCTTGGTTGGTGATTGGCTAATGGTTACACAAGCCAAAACATCGTTATGACATCATAAAGTGGCCAAAATCTGATCAGCTCATTTTCAGACAGGTTTTTATATAAATGGATCAGAACAAAAAGAGAGAGAATCTTTTTTCCTGAAACTTTCAGAATCTCTTTACACAGAGGGGACACGTGTTGATGTAGAAGAGACATGAAGAAGTGGATTTTGCATAATAGGTGACATTTAAGATGAATTGCCCGGAAAGTAATCTCTCACCCTGAAATTAAATTAAACTGGACTGTCCTTCTTTCCCTCCATCAGACCATCCTGGTGCAGATCTGGTACCCCATCACCGTGGCAACCAACTCCAGAGAGCAGAAGAAGATCCTCGCCAAGTATCTCCTGGAGACTTCTGGGAACCTGGACAAGCTGGCGTATAAACTCCATGACTTTGGCTACAGGGGCGTCTCCTCACAGGAGGTACACTCACACTGTATTTATCATTAAATCATTTTTACAAACATAATCCTAAACTTGAACGGGAATTCCTGACTTCGGAAACTGTAGCTCGAAAGTCCTAACTCAAGGTCAACTGTCCTGAGCTTCGATGGTTTCTAACAGTCTGATGGGACGGACTGAAGTGAGCTCAGTTATCTTGAAGAATAAACGGTTAGAATTAAGCAGGTTTTCATATTTCCTCCACACTAAAGGACTTAGGAAATAGTAGTTTGACAAATGTGCTATGTATCAAACCTCTGGAAAAAGCGTATTAGTAGACTGTGAAATATTTTCTCGATCTTAGGAGGCATTAAAAATGGTGTGAAATGAAAAACTATATATTTTTTTTTATTTTACCTTTTGTTTAACCAGGATCAAAGTCAACTTTATTGTCAATCTTTTAGTTGGTGTGTACAGACAGAGATCGAAAGGACGTTTCCAACAATCCCAAATACAATATACAGATATGTATAAAAATATGTATATCCTATATACGCAATCAACAGACACATATGCACACATTAAGATAACAAACACAACAATCAATATATACAAAATAACAATATCAATATCTTTGGGAATGAAAGATTATCCATAGAATGTGCTCGGTCTCATGGAGATTAAAAATCTCTTTTTCAAGAGAGTCCTGGCCAAATAATGATAATGGCACAGTTTCAGACCATTTTTAGAACACACACAGTCAGACAACAGTTTACAGCCACAGCGGCCAGCTTCAAGGTCATTTAGAATTGAGATTATATAGAAATAACCTTTTATCCCATGACACCATCTTCCGTCTCTTTGCAGACTGCGGGCATCGGGGCTTCGGCCCATCTGGTGAACTTCAAGGGCACAGACACGGTCGCCGGCATCGGAGTCATTAAGAAGTACTACGGCACCAAGGACCCCGTGCCTGGCTTCTCAGTGCCTGCCGCAGAGCACAGGTACACACACACACACACACACACACACACACACACACACACACACACACACACACACACACACACACACACACACTCTCTTTAATTTTATTATGCTTATTAAAGCTTAGTCCCTGCTTGGAGACTGGGTGTTTCTTTGCATAGCCACATCCCTCAGCTTCAGGTTTACTAGTAGCAGTTCATAAAGCTTAACACTAACATTTCACCAGTTACAATGACATATACTTGCCTTTACAGGGAGTAGTAAACCTTTGCAATAAGGGAACAGTATACATTGAAACCCTCCCCTTCTCATTGTCCTCATTATTGACATAGTGAGGGACAATCCTGCAGGTGTAACAACAGTCAAACAAACAAAGAAATTACAATATTTTGGTAATTAGACCAAGCAACCTTTTTCTCTTGCTGATAGAACTGGTGATCAGCTCATCAGTAGTGTGTTCATTCTATGAAATGCGGCCGTGTCTGGCGAATAAAGGAAACCCAAACACTAATATTAGAATACATTTTAGTTGTGAAGAACTTGGCTGTAGGTACAAGTATGAAGTGCAGGAGTAGTCAAGCAGAATTCAAAGCAAATCTCAGGAGTATGAAAGATACATTCAACCCTTATGCTTTCAAGGTTAAGAATGTGCCTTAACTTGGATATAACCTTTGAGAAATGCTTGACCCTCAACACAGTAGGGAGTTGTATCTACTAAACCAGTTATGTGGAACATCCATCTTGAATATTTGAATGAAACCATCCCTTTGTTTCCATCGTCTCACACCAGATCATAGACGAATAAAACATAGAATCAAAGTTTCTGAAATAAACGGGCAATGTTCGGTATGATGACGTTAAGTAGCACCATTTAGCAACTTGTTAGCAATTAGTATAACTATTACTACTTACTTATTTCCAGGTAAAAGACTCATTCCTTCACCACTCTTTAGTAGTTTGTTGAGCGTTCTGAGTAATGGGATGATGAGGACGTTGAGCAGCTGAGTAATTCAGGGAGGGGCGACAAGCCAATCTTTTTGAGGGTACGTGCTAGGTTTGCAGAACCTTAGCCCCCAGAGGCTGCAAACTCCTGTGCACAATGCTAATGGTCGCCATAATGCATTCACATTCTCCCAGAGTGCACAGGGGTACAGCAGGGGTACGCGACTCGGCTCTACTCGTCTCTGCTGAGATACTTCATGTCCTGGCTGGGAGCCGCGTGTGAGATAACTTTTTCACCCTCAAGCCAAATTGATTTTCAAGATAGGAAAATGTGTTTCAAATCACAGCTGGTTCTCGGCCAAAGCTGTTGACGGAGGGAATTGATCAGAATGAGTAAGAATTGACTCGTCATTTGGCTGAGGTCGGTGTTATGTCACCCTCACACTAATTATCTGCTTCATCTACCTCCCTTTGTGAGGGGGGCTGTGATTGGCTGGAGGTGAAGCTTTTCATTGGCTGCTGCCCTGACGCACATGCACTGGCCCTTGCGTGTCTCTGGTGCTGTTTTTTTGGCACTGATCCATCTTTTCTGTGCACACACACACACACACTTCATCTCTTTTGCACTTGTCCCTTCTTCCTAGCCACCAGGGCAGTTACTGCTGCTCCAGCGCACCCTTCCCGCATCCCCACACAAGTGCATTGTGGGATGGTGGCAGTAGCTGTCATAGTAACCGTTATGTAATGGCTCACCTCCTAAAGTCTGTGTGGTTTCTACCTCAGAGGGAGGGGTCGCGGTGAATTTCCACTTTGATCTTGATGTAAAGGGAAGAGGTGTGTCACCTTCAAAGCATCATAGGGCCTTGGAGGGATAACTGGAGAATCTCCGAGAAATGTACATTAAAAATTTAAAATACATTTTTTAAAGTGTCTCAGGTCTGATCTGCACTGTAAGGTAACTGAATCAGACACTAAATTGTAAGAAGGTTTTGTAAATCCTGACACAATGAAAATTGCCTGAGATTACTTCTGCGTACAGTGAATATCACAAAACAAAGATTTTAAACTAGATTTCGGGCACTTTCATCGTATTTAGGTGTTGGCAGGCCTTTCAGATATCTTGTTATCTTAGGACCTAAAACGGAAACTGTCTTGGGATCTGATTTTTGTATGGACAAGTACAAACATTAGGGCCTTTTTTATAGTGTGGGTGACTACACCTAAGCCAAATTGTATTTTCATTGTACTGTAGAGTCATCCAAAAGTAATACCTGGAGTGCACTGCCCTCTGCTGGCCGATCTGTGGTATTAACATCTGATCAATGTTGCAGTTCAGTCGTATGTCAGAAAAGGGAAAATGTAATCAAAATAGCATTTTCATTTCCCACTTACATATATCAGGTAAACATGTAAATAAAAATTCCGATATTCATCATTTTCACTACTTGCCTAGGCATTCACTTTTTTTGCTGTTTAACCTCTCACTTAATCCATCTCTATATTTGAATGGATGGTGTGAAGTGGTCTCCATTCATTCATTACTACGTTCTTCTTCATTTAAAGACCAATCACGATATAATATAATTTTCATCGATGATATGGGAAGAAAAATGACTGACAGTCTTCCGTTCTCTCTGCAGCACCATCACAGCGTGGGGGAAGGACCACGAGAAAGACGCCTTCGAGCACATCATCAAGCAGTTCCCCAACGTGCCCGTGTCCATCGTCAGCGACAGCTACGACATCTACAACGCCTGCGAGAAGATCTGGGGGGAGGACCTGAGGGCGCTGATCGTGGCGCGCAGTGCAGACGCTCCACTGGTGGTGCGGCCAGACTCAGGGAACCCGCTGGATACCGTTCTGAAGGTACAAAGCTAGTCTAAGAATCTTAAAATTAGTGTTGAAAAAATAATAATAATAATGACTTTGATAACACACCTGCATAATCTCAATATCAATTAAATTAAGAAGATATATCAAGGTAGACGGGTTGGAAACAACTGAAAATATGAAGACAGTGTCAATGCAAGGGTGTGTTAATATTGACCACTTGCACCATATTGTTCATACTTTGTAATTTTCAGTTTATATCTCAACAACCTAACATGTCACAGAGCTGAGATACATGCACCCAGCTGTTTTCTAGAAACGCCTATTATTTAAGTTGCTTCTTAAAAATGTGTTATACAGCATATAGGTCTAGAGCTTTTATTGTGAAAAGGTCATTAAGGGAACTGTAGGGCTGACATGTTAATGCTGAAAGTTTGCCATCTTGATTCAGACTACAAAGCCAGAATGTTCTTATTGCTAGGGATGTCCCGATCACCTTTTTTTGCTCCCGATCCGATTCCGATCATTTGATTTTGACAATTTGCCGATACCGATTTTTCCCGATCCGATCTTTATGCAATGCATTAAGAGAAAAAAAAGAAAAAAATCATTCAAGTTGTCCCTTAAGGTTATTTTTTTATTTAAATTTGATATTCTATCCAACATGGATATAGCTTCTTTTTTTCACAGCAGCATTGGATCAGTTCAGTTGTGCAGCATTGGATCAAAACAAAATAAAGCTTTCAGTACTCGTTAGCTTACTGCTACAATTAGACACTGCGCCCACTCTGTTGCCAGATTGGAGAGAAATAACCAGGTCTATGAAAACAANGTGTGTGTGTGTTGCAGTGTGTGTGTGTTGCAGTGTGTGTGTGTTGCAGTGTGTGTGTTGCAGTGTGTGTGTGTGTGTGTTGCAGTGTATGTGTGTTGCAGTGTGTGCGTGTTGCAGTGTGTGTGTGTGTGTTGCAGTGTGTGTGTGTTGCAGTGTGTGTGTGTGTGTATTGCAGTGTGTGTGTGTTGCAGTGTGTGTGTGTTGCAGTGTGTGTGTGTTGCAGTGTGTGTGTGTGTTGCAGTGTGTGTGTGTTGCAGTGTGTGTGTGTGTTGCAGTGTGTGTGTGTTACAGTGTGTGTGTGTGTGTTACAGTGTGTGTGTGTGTTACAGTGTGTGTTGCAGTGTGTGTGTTGCAGTGTGTGTGTTGCAGTGTGTGTGTGTGTGTGTGTTGCAGTGTGTGTGTGTGTGTGTGTTGCAGAGTGTGTGTGTGTGTTGCAGAGTGTGTTGCAGAGTGTGTGTGTGTGTGTGTGTGTGTGTGTGTGTGTGTGTGTGTGTGTGTGTGTGTGTGTGTGTGTGTGTGTGTGTGTGTGTGTGTGTTAGAATCTAACCTGTTGGTTCTTAGCATGGGAACCGGCTAGGATCTCAAAGTCGTCGTGAAGGTTTTGGGATATAAGCACAGCGTGGGCCTCGTGCACAGTTTCACTGGATGTCAGCGTCCCTGTTTCTTCCTCCTCCTGTGGATATAAATAAGCAATTCACACTGGTTTTATTCTGCTTCCCAGCATCACGACAGCAAGAACACAATATTTCTGTGGATACAGGAAATGGGAATTTATCAAACTGCTGTTTTAGTGCTTTGAGGGATACAGAAAACTTGATATTGCACTTTACGAATAGAAGCTTTAGACAAAGACAAAACAAATGTGATGATAAATAAATAAATGTCAGCACTTAGAGAGTTTGTCTCTTTTTGGATGCTGAAAAGTTCACTGAAAACTAGCATTCAGTTAAAAATAAATCAGCAGATTCAATGGAGGCGGAGTACAGAGAGAGAAAACCTTTTAGGTCAATTATTTAAAGCAGTGAAGTTAAGAGTCAGTACCTCCTGCTCCTTCAAACTGAAGGGGGGGGTAGGAGCCTCTCTAAACTCCATCTCGCAGCCCTGCAGGGGGCCCAGGCGCCTCCTCTTGCTGGGTGGCGTCTTTGGGGGGTGGTTCTCCTTCCCTTCATAAGGGCTGTTCCCATCTGACAGGGATACAAACAACCATGGAAATAAACAAACGGGACTTTGGGACACCTCGGTTAAAGATAAACCAGCACATATCAAATAAACATATCGTCACAAAAACACAGCTTGAATTCCAACTTTGAAGAAAAGTTTCTCAAAGCACGGGAGCCAACGTTTCACTTCGGCATCAACCAGCTCAGAAACGTGTTGTTTATGACGCTAATCAGAAGGAAAGTCTGCTGTAACAGAGTTTATACTGCGCTGTGCATTAATCCACCGCCTCCAGACATCATAATAAAAGCCTACTGGCATAGATCCTTGTTGAGGAATGAAACTATTAATCCTGTAGCAATGAGGCGGCCTCACCAGACAGATAATCTCTTGTCTTGATGCATCCTCCAGTGTTGCTGTCCTGCTTTGGCACGGGATCACAGATCACACTCTCCTCCACATCCATCAGGCACTGGAAGGAGGCCATCTTCTGCCTCAGCGTGGCGTTCACTCGGGGAAGTGAAGGCCCACTCCTGACGGGCTGAGGAGAAACAAACACATTCGCTCAGTGATGAAGCCTGACAGGCCATACACTCCTGAAATTACACGAGTGGTATTACCGACAGGCAGGACATCGATCACACACTGTCCATGAATAATACAAGTTATCCGAGCAATGCTTCTTCTTTCAGTTACATCACAGTATTTTTTCAATTAGGAAAACACATTAGTTAAAAAATACTTTCCTTCAAGCGTCATTTGACTCTAAACGGATTTGTATTTGTTAAGTTATTTCACAACTAGGGAAAGTGCACATTAATAAACATTGCTGTAAATGCACTTGTGTTTGCAAAGAGGCTCATTTGAATCTGTAGTCCCTGGTCAGATCATTCAGTCGCCCTAAAAACTAATTATAATATTGAAAAAAGGGATCAGAATTCATTTCAAATGTGCAACTCCATATAAAGGGAATGCAAATAAAAACAAACATGCATATTAGAAAGCGACAGGTTGCATTAGACAGAAGTATAGACAGACAGTGGACAGTATATTGCAATTTATATAACTAAATGTGTGGATCCTTCAGTGTCACTCACCCCCTGCAGACTAGATATTTGGTTGTACACAAAGTAACTTCTTAAACCACCTCTGCATCATACTGCACTTCTAGACTCTCCATTTATATTCTCACTGGGTTCCAAACATTCACAGATGCCAGAGTAAGAGAAGGTTTAGTGTAGCTGCCACTCGCCTTCTGTGGCAAATGCTGATATTTAAACCCGTATTTATCGTGTAAAATGTCGCTGTTTAGGCGTGACTTCATCGAACTGATCTGTACACAGGACTGATGTGCGATCTCTATTTTTCAAAAAGATTATACATTATCATTTCTATTCAATTTCATGCTCCAAGTAAAATTGAATAGAAATGATAATGTATAATCTTTTTGAAAAATAGAGATCGCACATCAGTCCTGTGTACAGATCAGTTCGATGAAGTCACGCCTAAACAGCGNTGTTGGAGGAACAACAACAGTGTTTGGAACTGAGGGTGAAGACAAGTTAATTTTAAGGGATTTTTGGGATTATTTCAGGGGGTTAGGGGAGGGGGATTTATTAGCAGTGCACGCCACCTCTGAGGTGTCGACGGAGGCCAAAAGGTGACGGGTTCAGGGGAATAGGGAGGGGAATTTGTTTTTGGGGTTAAAGGTGAATTCTGCACTCAGTGAAATGTTTCGATATCACTGTCCGTGAGCTTGGCATTGTCTCTGACTTCGTCAAATGTGTACGACTTCACCATCTTCCCGTTCTGAAAGACAGTGTGCAGCAGGTCCTGGAGACAGAGAGAGAGGATTAAGGTTAAATGTAAATAAAGAATAGAGAAGGAAAAGAAAGGAGAAACAGAGTGGAGTCGAGAAAAGAGGCAGGTAAGTGTCCGAGAGTTACTGTCAGCATTGAACTCACCACGCCATACTCCTCCAGGTCGCCCTTGCCCTCCTCCAGGGTGACAAAGTCTCCGCCCTGAGTCCGGTGCAGGGACAGACGACCTTTCTTTGACCTCTTGTTGGGGTCCGCCACCGGGTCTTTGAACACATTCACCTATACAGCACAGAAAAAAATATATAAAATCACATTTGGAAATGCGAGGGAAAGCGAGCAAAGTTCTGTGCTGATTTATAAATGCCAAAGTCAGGCATCAACTTTTACTTTTGTTTTTTTAAAAGATATTTTTGTGGCAAAAGAAAGCTAGCTGCTACATTAAGTAAAGCATCAGTTCTCACCCCCAGTCCGTTAGTGACCACGTAGCTGCATTTGAAGGAGCAGTTGAGCAGATCTCTGGTCAGTTTCTGCAGCAGAGCCCCTCCGGACCCAAAGGAAATATTCTCAATGGACCACCTGTGCTGCTTCATGCCCTCCACAATCTGAGGTAGGAATAAAGTAACATGTAAGAGAAACAACCTCCACCTCCTTGTACATGGCATCAGTAAGTCAGTAGCATGTTTTCAAACCTCTTGCAGAGTGTTGATATCAACTCCGTCTCCCTGTATGACTCTGATGTAAGGAGGGAGAACCTTATAGCCTTTGGAGTTCTCCTCTGGAGTAAACTTCTTACCCAGGATCTCCAAAACCTGAATCAAGAGAGGTTATAAGAGAGAGAAAAAGTTAGCGTGTTAAATCGAGGTGGTCTTCACAATACTAGAAAGGTATTGCCCTTTCCTGCTGTTAAAAGATACAGTTTGTCTTTTATTAGTACAAGTACTCAATAATGACAAATACTTAATTTGGTAATGGAATAACTAGAGATGTCCCGATCCGATCACGTGATCGGGGATCGGAGCCGATCACGTGATTTTCAAAAGATCGGAATCGGGGGGGAAAAATCGGGGATCGGATTTTTTAAAAATTATTATTATTATTTATTTTTTTATTCAATGTTACAAAACAAAATTGACCATGTTCAAGTCTTAAAGTCATCCTGAGGCCTTAGTTTTGGTTTCAAAT